TAAAAATTTTGTCAAAATATCAAGCAAAAAGCAACTGTTAGTAATTTTCAAGTCTTTTTAATGCTTGAAAATATCTTACAACATACTATATAAAAATAACATATGCATATATCACACATACATTACACATATATTTTAATGGAAGCAATCTCATTTACTAGCATTAAAAACTGTCTTCTAGAATGCTTTGTTCTGCAGGGGTCTTAGTAGGGGAACTTATGCAGAATAAGATGATTATATGGCTTTGGAGAAATGACTCTGAGCCAAATATTGAGTTTATGCTCAATCACCCAGAAGGCCAAGAATGTTAAAGTACAGGGAATATTTATATTAGCAACACCAGGTTGTCTGGACACAATAGAGCAATCATTCCTACACAGGGTAGGTAGGCTAATCTATAATGTTTCCCTACAGACATTTGCTTAATATATTCATAAATCCACTTTATAAGATATAGCAGGTTGGGCTGACTTCCTCATGGCAAGGATAACGGAAAGAAACACTAAGCAGCCTGACTAAGTTTCCACAGTTACATAAAAGCGAGCTAGGCCTGGAAGCCATGTTTCTCATTAAGGCCAGTGTTTTCCATGGACAACAGGGTGCCTCTGTTTTTCTTGGACTCCTCTGAACTTCTAATTTTGCTCTTTCAGAGTTCACATAAACAGCCAATACAGTGTAGAATTACAAAACACACAAACAAAATACATGATGAAAATACAAAATGTTTGCATAATATTTAATAAACCAATGCCTCAATTCTTAAGAGATTATAACACAGATATAAAGCAAAGTCAATTTGCTTATACATCAAAATTACTGCCATAATCTAAGACAAAGTCCCTGTAGCTGCTGGTTTTCTCTCTGCCTCGGCATAAACACTTTATGTGGATGAGAGCAGGCAAATGTAAAGAGAAAACCACAGTGAATCATTCCCACTCTGCCGTGTTGTTTCTTTCCTGCTGACTTGTGGTGTGTTCTGTCCTTTGCCCTAGTCTCTCTCTGGAGACGCCACTTCAGTAACTTACTCGTGGCAGGCACCAGTGACTTGAACTTTGAGGCTTGTTTTCTGGAATTTTAACAGGCAGGCATTTGGAAGTACTTTCACATTCCTAGAGCTTCTGTTAGGTGTATGAATGAGTAACTTCCTGGGCAATTAATGAACAGCAGCAATTCTCATCCTTACCTCGTTTACTGTGTACAGTTTGTCTCCTGCAGAAAGCCTTGTTGGAAAGCGAAAGCATTTGCTTAGAACTGGAGCAACACAGGCTTTCACCCTCTTATACCAAGTTAACTTCCAAGAGGGTTTTAACTCCCGCTTTCCCAAAGCACTAACTTTGCTTCCCAAAGCACCTGGCAAAAAACCACCCATTTTTTATTAGTTACTTTTTGAGAGTTTAGAGAACTGATAACATATTGAGTGAAATCCTTCCTAGCTGACATCATCTATTGACAAATGTTTAAAATACATCCTCTCCCCTAAAGCATTACTTGTAGCACTATAAATTTTTTTTGGGGGGGGGAGCAAGTCTTGCCACATAGCTTAGGCTGGCTTCAAACTCTTTATGTAGCTCAGATTGGCCTTGAGTTTGTGAGCCTTCTGCTGCAGCCTCCTGAGTGCTGAGATGATCAATTTCTTAATAAAATTATATGTTTAAAACAAAGAGACAGCAAAGTTTGACTTTATAGTATGGCTAGTCAATCAAAGCCAAGCCAGAAATTTTGTAGGAAGGAAATTTAGGCTGAGACTGTTCTGAAACTGTGTCAGAAGATGTTCTAGTTTGCTTTCTGTTGCTGTGATGGAATGCTCACTCTGGCCAGAAGCAATTTAGGTGGAGGAAGTGACTTCTGGGTCACAATCCATCCTTTCAGGAAGTCAGGACAGGAATTTAAGCAGGAACTTGAAGCAGAACCCGGGAGGAATCCTTGTTGGCTCACTCTCTGCTCTGGTCAGCTATCTTTCTTATATTTCCCAGAGTCACACACCTAGGGAGAGCTGGTACCACTCACAGTGGGCTGGGACTTCCCACATCAGTTATCAATCAATATCATCTTTTAGGAGACATGGCCACAGACCAATCTGATTTGAGCAACCCCTCCCCTGAGATTCCCTTAGATGCTTTAGCTCTCAGAAGAGCTAAAGCTGTAATTTTTTTTGTGCTGAGGATCCAATCCAGGGCTTCATTCTAAGGCAACCCCTCTCTCTACCACTGGGCCATACCTGATCTCTTATCTCTTTTAAGAATGAGAAATCTATTTTTTTGGTTATATATTGTATATGTGTTTATGTATGCATATATGAAGTCAAAGCTCACTTCTTCGAAGCTTACTATACTCATGTCTTTAAGTCTTTTATCTGGAATCACGATGAATACAGCTTTTCTTTTTTTCCAGATTGATTTAATTAATTAATGTATTTTTTTTGAGGCACAGTTTCTCTGTGTAGCTCTGGCTATCCTGGAACTCACTCTGTAGATCAGGCTGGCCTTGAACTCACAAAGATCTGCCTGCCTCTGCCTTCTGAGTGCTGGGATTAAAGGCATGCACCATCACCACTCAGCTTTTCCAGATATTTTGTTGAAGTCTTTTTCCAGATTAAAAATGTTCAAAGTTTATTCTTTACCCTGTCATTCAAGTTCTGCTATAGTTTAGCAATCTAGTATCTACTACCATGCTTACTTACTGACTTTCAAGCCTATTTTTAGTATCTTGTAGTTGTAGACCTTTTCTAATAACCATCCCTCCATAGCTGCACTTCCCACTTCTTCCCTTCACCTATGTTACACAGTCAGAAGACAGGGCAGGGAGAGGACATGGTCTTTGAGCCCAGATATCTAAATACCTGCTCTATACTAAAAGTAACCAAAAAATGGAAGCTACGGTTTGAAACAAGAATTAACCTTTATTGAGCACTTATTGTAAGCTGGGACAGTCTAATACCTTTTAATATTTTAAGGCAATGAAGTAAATATTGTTATTGCTATTTTACTGAGGAAGGAAATGTAGACATAGAAAGGATAAGTTGCCCAAAGTCACAGAGTCAAGAACTCCCAGTTTTTCCAGGCAGGAGGCTTAGCGCTCAGGCCTCAGGTTGTCCTACCACCCAGCTTCCTTTGTGGAGTCCCTCTGGGGCCTCCGAGCTCTTATGCTCTCCCGGACAACTGAGCACTGGCTCTGCCTTTCTGTTCTTTGCTTTTGCGGGGGCGGAGGGGTCAGTTCGAAACTGGCCTCAGCTCACCAATTCCCTGCCTGATCCATGGCATCGTCAGAGTAGGCAAGACACATCCTGTTTTGACGCCTTGGAAATCATTCTCTTCTAGACACAGCCCAGGATGCCCCCAGCATCTTAGAAAATATCTAGTGTCTAGAAAATGGGCAAGGCATAAGGAAAGAGAGGCCATGATTTCCTGACATAGCTGGGGCAGAGCCTGGCCGGGCTGGGGGATTCTCCCTATGCCTAGTCCATAACCAGAACTCGTTTCTATCTGTGGACAGACGAGCTAACGAGGCAGAGCCATGCTTGTGCCGGCTGCGTACCTCACAAGCGAGGGCACCAAGAGCGTCGCTTTTGACTTTTCTGGCTGAGAAACTCCAGTGGTTCCTGTAACTCTCGCGAGACCTTCAAGCGCAGGCCTTGCTCTGATCTTGCACATGCGCAGATTGCCACGCCTGCGCACAGCCTTCCTGCTCCGCATCGCTGTACAGCACGCAGCCGCTGAGGGAGGCGAGGTTCGCTCGAGGGCTCCGTTTGTACGTTGTGTTGGCGGGGGTTCCAGAAGGGAAATACCTTGGCCCCGTGACTGGCTGTGTTAGGTGGCGGGGTGGGGGGCGGGGATGTTGGGGGAGAACATGAATTCTGACAGGAAAATGTAACCCTTCCTTCAGTGCGGGGGGGGGGGGGGGGGGGCCCAGACAGGCCCTGTCTGGCCTCTTCCTCGTGAGGCAAGGTGTTAGAGAGGGTGTGTCTGCTGGTTGGGTAGTCCCCTTCCCCCGCTACACACACACACACACACACACACACACACACGCACGCACATACCACACCCATCCACCCACAAGCACACATACACCCCCCCCACACGCACGCACATACCATACCCATCCACCCACAAGCACACATACGCACCATGCACACACCACATACACACAAACACACACCCCCTACACACCACACACACACAGACTCACATACACGCACACACACCACACACCCATCCACTCACAAGCACACATACACACCACACACACACACACACACACACACGCACACACACACGCTACTGAGGCAGGATCTCTTGGCAGCTGAGGCTTTAGTGGTCTACGCCTGTAGCTCCTGCCCCTCAGCGGTAGAGACCCAGCAAAACCAGTAGTTTAAGCAAGTCTGGTTGTGAAACCCTGCCTTATATGTCACAGCTTTAGGATAATTTTTGGACATTAGCGTTACCTGTTTGATTTATATTTTAGTTGTGTTCACATCAGTCTGCCTCATTGGGCAGTGAATTTGTAGCAGAAATTATTTGGGTTTATGTCTGGTCTTTTTCATGGGCAAGTATTTGTTAACTTAAACAAATTAACATATAAATATATTAGGAAGCTAAAAGCAGAAAAAACATAATGAAAACAATGTTTTACTTGTTTCTCTAAGTTTGCCATTGCCTTTAGTCCCTTTTCCTTAAAGCTTTGGTCAGAATTCCCACAATGGGTCTTTAATTCTAAAATAGATTACTTAGACTGCCTACAAAGTCTGTATATATTTAGGAAACTATTATATCACCCATCTTAACTTATTTGAACATAGCTGGAAACATGGGATATGTTTCATATTCTTAGTCATAAAGCAATTCCTGAAGTGGTCACTTTAGAAAGTTTTAAACCATAATGCCCATACTTAATAGGCTGAAAATTTGGTCTTGTTAATAATAATGAGTTACAAGTTTCTTTCTTTGAAAGTTTAGTCAGCTTCATTTTGTGATGCTAAGTGCAAAGCTGTGATACTGAAGAAAATGAAGAGAAACCTAAATGAAAATTCAACTCGAAGTACAGCAGGTATTGAGCAGCCTTTCAATTTTTAGGTATTTTTCAGATACCACATAAGACGTGTATAGTTTCTAGGAACATTTTGGGAGGAACTTTTTAAAGAGATTAAACATTAGTTTAGCCTCTTTTCTTTTCATATCCAAAAGAGGTAAAGAGGTTTGTGAAGGTACAGTATTTAGTAGTGTAGAGCTGAGAGTAGAATGAAAATTATTGAGATTTCCTCTGGTGCTTTTTTTCCCCAAAATGTAAGTGATTGATTTACTTATGCTTGTAAGCAGGAAACAAATACATTCTTTTGTGGTTTTGTGATTGACTTGTTCAAAATGTTTTTAGAAGCATTTCTGTTTTCTAATATTTTGTATTTATATTTTGTCAATTATTAGGTAATATAAGGACAGAAGTCAAGAATGATAAGAGTTAGGGAAGTGATCATAATGTACAATGAAGATCATAATAATAATTTATGGTGGGCACACCGTATTCTATACATTTCATCAGAAGTATTATTTAATTCTTACCATCACCTCTGTTTTCTAGATAAGAAACCAAGGTACAAAGTCCTTAAATAATCTACTGAGTGGTAGAAACAGTACTCGAACCTAGAAATCTCTGATTTTAGATTCTATAATCCTAATCATCATGTTATGCTTCTCTGTATGTATCATGGGCACAAAGAGTTTAAGGAAACTGCTCACATTTAACTTTGAAGTTGTTTTCAAATTCACTTTGAAGGCACAGTTTTAATGTCGGCAGCCTGGCTCAAGAGCCCACCGGATTCTAGTTTTTCATTAGAGCGCCTCCACAGTCAGTATTCTCCTGCAGTGTAATGAGAATGGGGCAGCGAGACAATGGTAGTGTCAAGAGTTTCTGACTAGAGACTTAAGAACTTGGGCCCTATCTAGGATTTCTAGTTCTTGCTTTGAAGATGTCTTTTGTCCGTGAATTCCCTTGTAGCTTCTAAAGTTTATTATTTACTTACTTATTTATTTTTGACTGGAGAACCTGCTTCTGGGATCTGGAGGAAGTGGTGATAGTATTTATTTTCATTTGGATTGGGTATTGTCATTCTTTTAAGGCAATTAAGGTGATTATCAATCTGTGGGTTGTGACCCCCTTGGGGATTGCATATCCGATATCCTGAATATCAGATGTTTACATTATAATTCATAACAGTAACAATACTATAGTTATGATGTAGGAATGAAATAATTTTTATGGTTGGGATTCCGACAACATGAGTAACTGTATTAAAGGGTCATAGTATTAGCAAAGTTGAGAGCTACTATCTAAGACATTTTCAAAATGATCTATGGAAAAATATCATTATAGATAGCTGGGACATTTGTTAAAATTATAATTTGGGTTTCAGACTAAATATATTGAGATAAAATTGTCGACATTGGGAATTGTAACCTTTGAACCCACATGTTAATCAGAATTCTGTTGAAAGAGTGGCGGCAGGCTGCGGCCCGTCACCCGGCTAGCTTTACCCGAAATAATTACATGGAAACTGTATTCTTTTAAACACTGCTTGGCCCATTAGTTCCAGCCTCTTATTGGCTAGCTCTTACATATTGATCTAACCCATTTCTAATATTCTGTGTAGCACCACAAGCTGGCTTACCAGGAAAGATCTTAACCTGCGTCTGTCTGGAGTGGGAGAATCATGGCGACTCACTGATTCAGCTTCTTTCTCCCAGCATTCTGTTCTGTCTACTCCGCCTACCTAATTTTCTGTCCTATCAGAGGCCAAGCAGTTTCTTTATTACTTAACCAATGAAAGCAACAGATAGATAAAGACCCACCTCCATCAGAATTCTAGGAAAAAAATCTTAGTTAAACTGAAGTTTGATGACTATGGCCCCAGAAGCTGGCTGTCAAACACTAAAACATGCTTAGAATTTTGGAAAACGTGGTTCATAGTTTCTTCTTTCTTAGCTTTGGTATATTCTGTAGGTATTCTGCTGTTGCTAAGAAATTAGACAAGCAGAAGAGGGAAATATGGAAAAGAAGTAGATTTGGGAAATGTTTGAGGATAAAAACAGAGAATTGCTTAAAAGTAAGAATTAAAGCGATAAGATAGAAAAAGAAAGGACTTTAGAGATACTGGTGAGCTATTTAGGACTTCTAAAAGATTATAAAAATCATTTTAAGGGCATATAAATATATCTGGCATATTAGCATATAGAAGTAGACAAACTATGCATCGTTATATATTATTAATGGTAATTAGTCTAGAAATAGATATATTTACCTGATTTATACTAATTTATTGGTACCTTCAATGTAGGCTGTTTGCCTGTGCCATTATTCAATCAGAAAAAGAGGAACAGACAGCCATTAACTTCTAATCCACTTCAGAATGATCCAGGTATCAGTACTGTTTCTGACAGTTACAGTTCTCCTCCTCTACCAACAGGTAAGAAAATGAGTAAGGTGAAAATTTCAAGAGACAAGAACTAGGATTGTAGAAAATTCCTGGGTCTCTCATTGAGGCCAGGTTCCTGCTGTTTTTCACTGCTCAGATATAGAGATTACTTGGCTCCTTCTGAGCATTCCAGCACAGGAGTTTTGAGTTGCCTTGTCTACAAGGGTGGCTTAGCATTTAAATAGAGTATCTTTATGTCTGGAGCCTTTGTTTTACTAAAGTAGAAACCTACAGTGCAAAGATTTTCTCTCTCAAAACAGATTACTGTGACTTATATATTTGCTAGTAAAAAATGGAAGAATTTGAGTTACCTCAGAAACAGGGAAAAGTGTATATGGAGTATGAGAAAAAAACGGAAAAAAATGGACTGTAGAAAAGACACAAGCCCAGGAACTTCTGGTGCTGTGTTCTAGTCATTGCTTTCTTAGGGCAGTTTTGCCTGCTTTTCTTTGTTGTGTTTTTTACTCTTTTTCTGAAAATTCTTAAGTTGCAGTTAACCATTGAGTAGGGGACAGACTTTTAGGAGGTGCTTATAGTTGTGAGGACTCTATCTCTATGCACAGTACTAGTGCGCATAAAAAGGAAGATGAAGGATAAGTATGTTTGCTACTTCTGTCATGTGAGGATACACTAAGGGGCTATCTCTGAAGCAGAGATCATGCTTTCACCAAATACCTAGTTTGTTGTTACCTCAATCTAAGATGTTTTAGTCTCCAGCACTGTCAGAAATTCCCATTTGTAAATTACCCAACTTAAGATACTTTCTTCTAAGATACTCTCATCTAGTATGCCCGTATATAGCTTCAACTAGTACATTGTGTAAGTTGCTATTGCTGGGAGTTTACATATTCTAGCTCTGCTTTTTAGAGATAACTCCTTCTGTAACTCTTGATTAAGTTTTGGAGTCAGGAAGCTTCTAATGTGACACCTTTTAAGTGAGACCACTAAAATCTTCTCACCCTGTGAGCCAGTAAGCTAGCTAGCTGTCTGTCTGCCTGCCTGTCTGTCTGTCTGTCTGTCTGTCTATCTGTCTATCTGTCTATCTGCCTATCATCTGCCTATCATCTGCCTATCATCTGCCTATCATCTGCATACCTACCTATCTGTCTATGTGCATGTGTGTTGCAGAGATGAGACTCAGGTCATCATGCTTGATGGCAAGCCTTCCCACTGAGCCATCTTGTTTACTGGCTCAATGTTTACTGACTTTATTTACCTCTCAGAGAAGGCACTGATAGGCAAACATTCTAAAATATATTTGGTCCATTATGTTATGTATATTTAATTTTTTGGGACAAACTTTAAAATTACTATTGGAATCATGTGAATAAAATATTAAATATAAATTTTTATATATAGCAGTACTCATTTTAAATTTCGTTTAGTATATTTTCATAGACTTTGGTATAGTCATTAAATTGTTTTTCTTCAACACCAGAAATTTAAAAGTATAAAGTTAGCATATAACATTCTCATTTTCATAATTAAATTTTATTTTTAGTATGTATGAATGAGTGCACATGTATGCATATCATGATGGTATGTGTGTGTAGGTCAGAGGACAACTTTTGGGAATCAGTTCTCTCATTCCACTGTGGCTCTGGCGTCAACCTCAAAATATGAGACTTCCATGGCAAATATCTTTACCCACAGAGAGCCATATTTGGTACCCATTCCTTTTTTATGGATAAAAAGTAGAAAATGGGCATGCATAAGACACCATTTATCTTAGCATTCTCTACCACTTAAAATCTTCCTTACTATTTAAAATTTTTAATAAGTAGCATGAATAATGAACACGAGAAATTATAAGTGTGAACTATTACATGTGGAAATATGAATTTTTTTGTTTTTTGTTTTTTTTGGAGACAGAGTTTCTCTGTAGCTTTGGAGCCTGTCCTGGAACTAGCCTTGTAGACCAGGCTGGCCTCGAACTCACAGAGATCTGCCTGTCTCTGCCTCCCAAGTGCTGGGATTAAAGGTGTGGACCACCACCGCCTGGCCAGGAAATACGATTTTTTATCTTGATTTATTAGTTCGGGATACAGTCAACTTTCAAAAGAGAGTAACATCTGTCTTGTGACAAAGGGCAGGAGAAAGATTCCCCCCACCACCTGGAGCAGAAGGAAGAGATGGCTCTATGGTCATAAGAGTGGGAGAACTGTCCTTGACCTCACCAGCTGCAGCACTCAGGATGACAGGGCTTGTGCCTCAACAGAATGGCACAATAAAGCCAACCCTGTTAGTGCACATGTGGATGAGCCAGGCTCGAAGATGTGAGTGTGGGAGAGCTGCCCCATTGCTCATCTGTCTTGTGGTAGCATGGGCAGGGGACAGAAGTCCTCCTCCATGCCCACCAATGCCTGGAACAGGTAGGAGAACTGTCCCTGTGGTCATAAGAGTGGGAGAGCTATCCCTGTCCCCACCACCTGCAACTGTCGGGAGAGCAAACCCTGTATTCTGGCAGGGCAGCACAACAGATCCAGCCCTGTTAGTGGAGGTGTGGGTGAGCCACTTCCCAAATCGTAAGCATGGGACATCTGTCCCCATTTCTTATCTGGTCGACCAACTCCTACAGCAGCTCAGGCCCAGACCCAGGGTTATGACTTGGCCTGCCCCAACATCCACCCCATCTATGGGCTGCTGGAGCATGTTAAAGCCTGACCCACAGGCCCAAAGCTGCCAGAACTCGACAACAAAGGGTGCCAGTGGGCTGTACAGTCCAGGAAGAGCCCTAGTAGGGGCCCAGCATCACATGGGTAGTGGAGACCAGGGGCCTCAAACCAGACCAGTGACTCTTTGCAGTGCAAGTAGAGAAGTATGGACTAAGGAGTATACTGCATGACTTGTGGGTCACACTTCAGCTTCTAGATGAGATTTTGCATTTCTTCCCTTTTAAATTTTTTTCATTGTTTTTCTTCAGTTTTTTTCTCTTGAATTTTGTTTTATTGGTGGGGGGATACAAGGGCAGAGGGCATTTGCGACGAGACGGGGAATAAATAGGATAAGGACATGATGTGAAAAACATAGAATAAATTTTATTAATAATGATAAAAAGAAGAGAGTAAGGGAATGGAGAGATGGCTCATTGGTTAAGAGGAATTACTGGTCTTTGAGGGAACCTGAGTTTGGTTCCTATCACCTATGTCAGGTATCTTACAACCTCCTTATAACTCCAACTCCAGGGGATCCTCTGGCCTCCATGAGCATGTTCCCTCATGTGCCTATGCCCTATAATTAAAACACAAAATAGAAATCTTGAAAACATAAGAGAGTAACTAGAACAGAATAGAAATGTTAGTGTATATCGTGCATAGTAAGGATTAGATTTGATGTTAAAATTATGTTATCTTACCCTTTCATTCTGTGTCTCTCCATTAGTCTCATACACTAGCTATCTAGTTACCAGTTAGGATTTAGTTCTTGATATAGGGTAGAATAAAGTTTAAAAAACATTGGATTTGACTAAATTTATGTTTTCAATTACAAGGCACTATATTAGAATTAATTGTGGAAAAGACAAATTAAACTACTATCTTTACAATGGGGAAGAAAGATGTCTATAAAATTAGGCAGGCTATGATAAATCCTGCAATCAAATACTACTGAGGACTGCGTCTTTATCTTCAAATTGTTAGAACTCTCAAATTTATTAAATATAAGGAATTATTTTTAAAAGGTATCTTATTTTTACTTTTCTTATACTTTTGAGATTGGGCGTGGGAAGCTGTGTATCCAGAGGTGACTCCCTTAAAGAAAACAACGAATATAGGGTATGTGTAAAAATATGAACCAATAAATGTGTGTCTGTTACTGAGTGATGCTATTTTTCTGCATGCATTTCTCAATCTGAAAGCAAACTATATTTAACAATATATTTCCTTGAAAGGCAAATACCAGCTTCTGCTTCTTATTCCCTGAAAAGTCAAGATTCTGTGTTTAAACCTATGCAGTCAAGTGCTGAAAGAAGCCAAAGTAGTTGGGGGTAAGTCTGCCTTTGTTTTCGCCTCTTCTTTCCTTAAAAAAAATCTTTCTTAGAAATACATTTAGGAAATTTCTACATTAATACATAACTGGTATTTGAATATAATCTATGTACACCTTTCTGTATACTTTAAATTGTACAATGTAATACATAGTGTTATATAGTTGGGCATGGTGTACATAAGTAATAATGACAAGTATATGTCGGGTATAGATGTAATTTTTTCCACATATTTTTGATGAATGGTTTGTTCTGATCTGTTGGGGCATAACTTGTGGATATATTTGGAAGGCCTAAACTGACCTAAAAGTAGTAGGTTCAGCTGACCTCAGCTAGTAGGAACTCATTGACTCCGGACTGATAGCAGGGGGACCTGCACAGGACCAAACTAGGTCCTTTGAATGTGGAGGACAGTTGTGTGGCTTGGGCAGTATGTGTGGCCACTGGCAGTGGGACCAGGATTTATCCCTAGTGCTTGAACTAGCTTTGGGAGCCCATTCTTTTTGGAGGGATATCTTGCTTAGCCTAAATTTAGTGGGGGAGGGGAAGGCCTTGGTCCTGCCTTAAAGTGATGTGTCAGACTTTGTTGACTCCCCATGGGAAGCCTTATCCTCTCTGAGGAGTGGATGGGGGGTAGGGTGGGAAAAGGTGAAGGGAGTTGGAGGAGGGAGAAAGTAGGAAGTGGGATAGGTATGTAAAATGAGAAAAGATCGTTTTAAAAATATAAATAAAATAAAATAGTAGGTTTTTATATAGCTTTTTTCATATACTTTTTGTTTTATGTCCTGATCTTCCCTGTATGCCTATCTCTATTCCTACATAAACTCTCCCATCCCCAATATTCCCAGTCTCTACTTTCATATTGCCTATGTTCTGTTATGCTCCCTTTAAGGTACTTCTTCAACATCCCCCTTTTAGCCACTTGGCCTCTATAGGTATTCTAAGTTAAACATATCCATCTAAAAAAACTGAAGCCAGGATTCACATATGAGAATGTGGCATTTGTTGATAAGAACCTGGGTTTCCTCACTTAGTATAATATTTTCTAGTTCCATCAATTTGTTGGAAAATTTTACAATTTAAAAAAATTTTTACAACAGAATAAGATTCCACTGTATATGTTAATCATATTTTTATTATCTATTCATTACTAATGGACATTGTAGGATATAGAGTCCTTTAGACATTAGAGTATATGCCCAAGGTGATAGAGCTTGGTTATATAATAGTTCTATTACCAAATTTGAGAATTTCATACACACATAGAATGAAATATAACTATATATGTATGACACTTATTTCCTATTCTTACACTTTTGTGTATTTCAACATGTCCCCCTTTCAATTTCATGTCTTTGTATTTTTTTATTTTTTGGATACAAGATATCTTTATGTAGTCCTGCCTGTCCTGGAGTTCAGTATATACTAGAATGGCCTTGAACACACAAAGATCCCACTGCCTTTGCCGTCTAAGTGCTGGGATTGAAGTGTGTGCCATCTTTTCCTTAGGTAATTCACTAAATTCAATTAGTGTTGTCCATATGTGCATGGGTATGAGGCTGCCACTGAACCCACTGGAATCTTGTCAGTGGCACATCATCAAAAAAAACCATTCTTCTCCAGAAACTATCAACTGCCAATATTTCCTTAGTAGGGCTTGAGATCATCTACCGCCTCTGTGCTGGAAGTATAACTGGTTTGATCTTGTGCAGATTTCATGCAGGTTACCCCAACTCTTGTTGAATTCATGAGTGCAATTGTCATATCATGTCCAGAAGACAACATTTCATAGCATCCCTACCAACCCTCCACAGGTTCATATATTTCTGGTGTTTTTGAGAAACCTCACACTTAAATTCCATAGTGGTTGTACCAGACTGCAATCTCACCAACAGTAATAAGAGTTTCTCTTTCTAATATCCTTGTCAGTGTTTATTATAATTTTATTTATTCTTCTGACTGGGGTGAGAATGGAATCTCTAAGTAGCTTTAATTAGCATTTCCCTGGTGGCTAATGAACACTTTTAATGTTCATTAACCATTTGTATCTTTTCTTTGAGAGTTGTTTTTATACTTACAACCCACTTTTTTTTTTGATTGAGTTGTTTGTTTTCTTGGTGTTTAGGTTTTTGAGTTCTTTGTGTATTGTAGTCATTAATTCTGTGACAAAATATATCTGTCAAAGATTTTCTCCCATAATGAATGAAGACTACTTCTTCACTGACTGACCATCATGCTCATTGCTGTACAGAAACTTTCATGAGGTCCCATTTGTCAATTGTTGCCTTAGTTCTTGTGCAACTACTGTTCTATTTAGAAAGTTCATAACTGTGCCTGTTTCTTGTAATGTTTTCCTTACTTTTCCCTGTAGTACTTTCAGGGAGATTTTTGATCCACTGGAGGTTTGATTTAATCAGTCGGTCAATCACTCAATCGATCAATCAGTCAATTTATTTTCAGGGTAAGAGATAAGGATCTAGTTCTTTGGTGGATAGTACACAAAGTTTAATTGATAGTTGAAAGTATACCAATCAGAAGTAAAGCTCCATGGCTTCAGATTGAGTCTGATAACTACACAGAGGCTCACTGAGATATATAGACTTGGGGTCTAGGCAAGTGCTTGTTTGAGTAGCTGAATTAATGTAGTATTTAAAAAAATTGCTGGTTCTTTAATTGGGTGTTTAAGAACTCTGTGTTTGTTTTACTCAGAAATCTAAAAATCATTGCTTTTAGAAACCAGGATAAATTTTATTTTTGTTTTCTGGAAATATGACTAAAATAGCATTTTATAGTGATTCTTAGTGAGTTTTTAAATAATAAAAAGAGCATGTGTGCAAGGTTATGTATAAGCGTGTGGAGGGCTCAGAGGCAGCTACGTCATGGAGAAGCTTGCCCCAGCATAGGTGATGGCTCACAGAAGCTCATCTCTGAGTTCTCTGTACATTTAGCAGGTAACTATGCCAAAGAGTATTATCTTTGCAACAGTGTTTGCTGCTTATGTAACTGTGGAAAAGGCCAGAATCTTGTGATTTTTCTGAGTTTTGTAAATTTCATTAGCTGCTTGAATCTTTTGTGAGCTTCCTCTCCCATCCAGGAAGGAATGTTTCAATTCAGAGGAAATATCTGCACAACAGGGTATACAAAACACAAAACGAATAACAATAATTCTAATGTTTTTTCTGAATACTAATGTTTTTTATGGTGTTTATAACCTAAAGATTCACAATTGTGATTTTTTTATCCTATTTATTCTTAAATTTATACTTAATTTATTAACAATAGTTCTCAAGCTGTACAAACCTTATGTCCTATAAAATCTAGGCTTTTTGCTGATTACTGGTTCTCCCCACCCCTTTTTAAAACATTCAAGACCAGCCTGGTCTACAGAGCTAGTTCCAGGACAGGCTCCAAAGCCACAGAGAAACCCTGTCTCGAAAAAACAACAACAACAACAACAACAACAACAAAAAAAAAAACAAAGGATGGGTTGTATTAATTGTCTTGTAACGTTTGTAATATTCATAGTTAAGAATTTGTAATTGAACTAGTTTCTCCTTTCTGTATAAGTCTTAACTGGCCTGATTAGGAAATACTTTTGTTTGGGTCTTATTAAATCCTACACTGACCAGCTTTTGTATGTCATTTAGGTTAATATGGTAAATAAATGCTAAAACAGGTTGGTTAGTAGGCTTTTCAAAGCACAAAGTATTAAATAACCTTACAGGCAAGCTGTAGCTTCTTTTTAAAAACTTTGTAGAAAATTTCAAAATAAATGTATAAAGAATTAAGCAGAAGTCCTCAAAATATTTCACTTGGAAACTCCTGTTATATGAAGGTTTGAATATTGTAAACATGTTTGTAGCACTCTACTCTGAGATGGGAGACTGGTGTTGTCTGAGTTCTGAACTTACCAGTGACTTGCTGCTATTTACCTTTGTATGAGTTATTTCTTCCCTAGGGTGTCTCTAAGTTTGGAAAGAGAAGTAATACTATATTGTACCATTGTGCAATGAATGATGTGTTTGAAATTTCTGACTACGTAGTAGCTGCAAACCACTGATTGTCATAAGAATGAAAAAATTCATCAGTTTTTCCTAAATAAAAAGACAGAGAAGTATGTTCTACTTTTACAGCTTCAGAGGTGACAACAGAAATACCAGCTTGAGAACCTGGGATAAAAATGATTTCCGTCCTCAGCATAAAACAGCAAACGCAGCAGCAAACAGTAAATTCAATTCGTATTCAATGGATTTGGGAGCTCAACAACAGAAACAGTCAGGAATGCCTGAATTTCCTAACTTAGATGGACACAAGGAAACTGGAGTACTCAGACAAACATGTTTATCAAAGCTGCCTGGCTCTACAGTGAAAGGCCCGGACAGAGCCAGTGCACTGCAGGCATTTAAGCCCAGTTTTCAACAAAATCAATTTAAGAAAACAGTGTTGGGTGACACCCCAGGAGAAAACACTCTGAAGGTAAACACTTAAATATTAATGAATGACTTATTTACATGTTTACATGTGTAGTAAGTAAGTATGTAGATAGATACATCCATGGTATATACAGATTCACACAAATACCCAGTTTCCTATTGGAATAGGTGAATGTTAGTTTCTGAAATGTCTTACATTTCTTTGTTTTTATAGTGATTTCAGAATTTCTTACTGATTTTTACTCTTTTAATTATTAAGGTAACAATAGTTTGCTCATTGTTTGTAGAAACAATCTATCCTTTTTATTGTCATTCTCCCAAAAGATATCAGAAATACTTTCACGCAAAGTGTCAGATAACAATATTTTTGGTGTTATGAACCATACTTTCTTTGTTGTAGTTATTCTTTGTAGAGTTGGTTTTCATGTGTTCTGGGGATCCAACTCAAGCCATTAAACTTACATGGCAAGTAGTTCATCCACTGGGACATCTCTCTTACCTCATAGTTCTTTTCTTATTTTAAGTAAATTCTTGTTTTCACACTATAATGCAGTGCGATGTAATGCTGGCTTTAATTTGGGGGTTTAATTGCAGTGAAACTTAGTAGTTCTTTTTACACATTCTACATATGTATTTATTATAAGGACCTAGACCCTACGTAGTTCAAAAAGTATAATGAATAAAATTAAACATTTTTCCAATGCTGTTTTTTTCCCCCAAAGGATGTCCCCTTGCGTCAGTTGAAGGAAAAAGATAATTCTTTAAGAATTATTTCTGCAGTCATTGAAAGCATGAGGTACTGGCGTGAACAAGTGCAGAGAACTGTACTTCTTTTTGAAATATTGGGTAGGTATAATATTTCAAGGGCACTTCAGTAATAGATTTGGATGTTTTTAATGTCATCATGAATGTCTAGGGTATCATGAAGAGTAACACAAATTGGAAAAGGAGATGATGTTTATTTGGGGAAATGTAGGCTGGCTTCAGAATAACAGATGTCTACTAACAGAGCATAGGGAATGGTTACTAAGTGATTGAATAACACACTTTGATAAAAATTTATGATGCTAAACATGAGTTAGGACTTGTATTTGTTGGTGAAGAAACAGCTTTGAGAGATGTTAAACAATTTGCTCAAGAGAAAGAAAATGGGAAGATGTAGATTAAAACAATAAAAACTTGCAATTATGTAAGATGAATCAGCCTAGAGAGATGTGTTTCATAAAACTATGGTAAATATATATTGAAAATTAGCCCCAAAGGTAGATTTTAGGTGCTTCTACCCTACCTCAGAATGTAACTGTGGAAGGGGATAGATATGTCAATTTGTTTACCTGAAGTAATGAAAACATTTGACATCTATTGATTTTTTTCTCTGTTCTTTTTTTTTTTTAAATATTTATTTATTTATTATGTATACAATATTCTGTCTGTGTCTGCAGGCCAGAAGAGGGCACCAGACCTCATTACAGATGGTTGTGAGCCACCATGTGGTTGCCGGGAATTGAACTCAGGACCTTTGGAAGAGCAGGCAATGCTCTTAACCACTGAGCCATCTCTCCAGCCCTTTTTCTCTGTTCTTGTATGTCTTACAGGGATATAGTTTGTTTTAGGAAATGAAATAAATCGTTTGAACAATGTTACAAAATAGTATGAAGCTGAAGACTTGACACTAGAATTCTATTTCAGTGTTGTTTTCATTAAACTCTAAGGCTTACTTGTTGTTATAGTGCATTTTATTGTTACAACAGCTCTGGAATTCAGCCAGTCTACAGAACACACTGAAAGGATAATTCCTCCATAGAATTCCACTGTATAAATGGAACGGGGAGAGGCTGTTATGTAATGACACTTAAATATCACCTTTTCTTTGTTAAATTTTGTTTGTATTTATCAATATTAATTTCCTCACTTCCATGTTGCCTAGCTGTCCTGGATTCAGCTGTCACACCTGGTCCACATTATTCAAAGACTTTTCTTATGAGAGATGGGAAAAATACTCTTCCATGTGTATTTTATGAAATTGTGAGTATCTTAAAGTGTTCATGTTCAATGTCTATGGCTAACAACAACAACAACACAAAAAAGTCATGTGAAAATATAGGCTACAGTCCTGTGGCAGTAGAAATTCTTTTATCTATCATGAGCTGTTATGGGGAGAATCTTAAATTTTCTAGTAAGCAACTTCTTGCTAGTTTGTAAGAATCCTTATCCAGGATAGGGCCATTCCTCTGTGACAGGATATGTGTCTATACCTCGTTATCTTATAAGTAGCACAAGAACCATACTATCTATGGTGATTCATGTTTATCATATCATATATCACATCATCATATCATATCATATCATATCATATCATTTGTCATAAATTAAGTTAGACATTGATCTTTAGATGAAGCAATACATAATTTTTGACTTTTATGTTTTGAAAAACAGGATCGTGAACTTCCAAGACTGATCAGAGGCCGAGTTCACAGGTGTGTTGGACACTACGACCCAGATAAGAACATTTTCAAGTGTGTTTCTGTTAGACCAGCATCTGCTTCTGAACAAAAGACTTTCCAAGATTTTGTTAAAATTGTCGATGCGGAGATGAAGTATCATACTAAAGTAGTGAATGAAATGTAAACAGTGACAAAGGGAGTATTGCAGTGTAAACTGAAGCATTTGCTGTTGTTAATTTACCTCTTGCATGGGTTTATCACTATTATTTTTTCTGTATTTCACTTCTTTTTATGAAAATAAAACTTTTTAAAAATAGATTTGACCTAAACAGCATATCTAGACTTCTTTAGTTTCGAAGTTATGTTGAGCTATGCTTTACATTTGCTAACTTTTAAAAACCACTTCAGGTAGAAATGCTCACTGCAGCAGAAAGAAATAGATACTTCATCTGCTTGATTTCAGCCAAAGGGCTGAAAGCTCTCTCTTAGGTGTAGGTGATTCTTTAACATGGGATTAAAACATGTGACTTCAAAGGACAATACTGGAGGCACTCCCACTATCAGTAGCAAGATGGATATGAGTATTATCTTAAGTATTATTCTGTACTTGTTCATTCATGTAGGTCATTTAATTACTTTTTATTTAGACAATATTTTTATTTGCTGAGAATTTCATACATTGTATTTTGATTGTATTCATTCATTTCCCCAGTTCCTCTGAGGAATTTCCATGTCCACCCAACTTAGTGTCCTTTTCTGTTAAAAACGCATGGACTTCCAGGTGGTGGTGGCACAAGCCTTTAATCCCTTGGGAGGCAGAGGCTGGCAGATCTCTGCGAGTTCGAGGCCAGCCTGGTCTACAGAGTGAGTTCCAAGACAGGTTCCAAAGCTACAGAGAGAAACTCTGTCTCAAAACACCAAAACAATTACCACCTCCACCACCACCAACAAGAAAAAAACAAAACACCTGTGGAATCCACTTTGTGCTGTCCATGTACTTTTGGGTTGATTTATAGAATTAAGCCTATGGTATTCCATTTCACCTTTTTGTAGTGAGGAGAGTGGTGGCGGGCCCTGTCCTGCTACCTGGCTAGCTTAGCTCACCAAAAACCACATGGAAATTGTATTAATTAAATTGCTGCCTGGCCCATTAACTCTAGCCTCTTCTTGGCTAATTATTACATCTTGATTCAACCCATTTCTAATAATCTGTGTAGAACCTTGAGGTTGTGGCTTACAGGGAAAGATTCAGCATATCTGACCTGGCAGCTTCATGGCGGTGACTCTCTGCCTCTGCCTCCTTTCTCCCAGCATTCTGTTCTGTCTACTCCGCCTATCTAAGCTGCTGTCCTATCAAAAGGCCAAGTCAGTCTCTTTATTTAACCAATGAAAACAACATGATCCTCCTATGCCATCTTTTGGTTAAAATTCAGGAAAATTTTAACTAGGATTTGAAAGAAGTCTGCCTAGTTCAGCTTTAGTTTTCATTATCATTCAATATTGATGCCACAACCCCCTCTGGGCTTCTCTTTTTGGTCCATTGCATTCCCTTCTCATCTATGTGTCATGCCACTCCACTTTTCTTCTTTTCTGTCCGTACTTTTTGGATGGAGTCTTCAGTCATATTCCAGGTGATCTCTTTCCTTGGTTTATAGGATGGAAGTTACACAAAGTAGTGTGGTATAATGCCTCCTAAAATGTTTTAGCAACAGGAAAAAGTCCAATCTCTAAGCAATTTTATTTTCTCCATGAGTGCCGTAATAACTTGTGAGGCATTTCTCAGTCTGAAATGCTTCATTCTGCCCTGTCTATGAAACTTAAAAACATATACTGAGAAAAGTCTTACTTCCAGTCCAAATGCATTATCAGAGAGCTTTATCTTGTTGGGAGAAATGAGAGATGGTATGCATTAAGTAGGGAAAAGGGAGACCAAATTATAGAGTAACTTATTTCACCACCACTAAGAGTGACTTACACATTGGTGTCTAACACAAATGTTTAAGGGTGAACCAATTAGGCATAATTCCCTTACAGTTTCAGGTTCTGAATGTGTTTAATCAGTTCATGGAACCAGAGGAGCCCAATACTAGGATACATGAAACAGGGAAAATAGGCCCAAGGTAACCCTGCCAGACTCTACATCAGTGGTTCTCAACCTTGTGGGTTATGATTCCCTTGACAAACCTCTATATCCAAAAATATTTATGCTATGATTCATAGCAGTAGCAAAATTACAGTTATGAAGTAGTAATGAAAATAATTTTATGGTTGGGGGTTACCACAACATGAACTGCATTAAAAGATCACAGCAATAGGATGGCTGAGAACCACTGCTCTACATGGGGAAGGTCGAAGTCTGCAGAATTTCCTGCCATAGGTTATTATGGATTAAGAGAGTAAAGATGAGAATATGACACTATATAAATATATTTGATAACATTTCAAAGAAAGAACCATTTCTAAACAGATGCCTCACTGGCTCTATTTTAGTAGACAGATTGCTAGTCAGCAAGTTGGGGGCTCTTTAAGTCTCTGAATCAAAAGACAAATTGTTATATTGCTTGAGGTAATTTAATCATAGGTAACATGGAAAAATTCATTTTTGTACAAAATGAAGAAAAAGATCATGTCTAATTTCCAGAAACTTTATTTATATAAGTTTCATTCATAACCGCCCCAACTCGGAGCAACTGAGATGTTCTTTGTCAGGTTAATGGGTAAACTATTGTACTACAGACAATGGAATGACAGTTCACAACTAAAAGAATCAGAGAAATGGAAGTGTAATTACTAAGAGAATAAAGCCAACTGTAGGATCTTTTTTGTGTCAACAAATCAAAGGCAGCTATTCTAGAAATCCAATGAAGGCAATACTATTAAGATCCATATTTCTGAAGAACGAAGGCCAAATCTAGTTAAAATGATAAAAAGGGAACACAGGATAAGAATAGAATAGAATATTACAAATATCAACTGTAATCTCATGATTGTCTTACTTTGAATTTTTATTCCTGTGAAGAGGCACCATGACCATGACAACTCTTACAAAGGAAACATTTAATTGAGGGGGCTTGCTTACAGTTTAGAGGTTCAGTTCATCATGTTGGGGAGCACGGTGGTAGGCAGGCAGTCTTGGTGCTGGAATTGAGAGTTTGACATATTGACTCAGCAAGTCCACTGACTATTTCACTGAGTGAAATTTAAGAAAAAGACCTAAAAGCCTGTCCTCACAAGCAACACATTTCCAACAGGTGTGGCCCAGATTAAAGGTGTCTCCTCCAGCCTGAAGGGCTGGTTTAAGGTGTGTGTCATTCAGCTTCCTCCATCAAGACCACACTTCCTCCAACAAGGTCACACATCACACTTTCTATGAGCTTATGGGGCCAAATACATTCAAACTGCCAACATGATCAAATGGAAAAGCTGACACTAGGAAGGTATTCAAGATATAAGAAGATTGGTTAGGATGATGGTGGGGGCTGCACTCAAGTTTTCTTAGAGAAGTTAGGAGCAAGAAGTAACTAAGATACAAATCCATTTTGGCTGGAGGAAGAATTGAACATGATGTGGTAGCATTTCTCTTTTCTCTTATTCCTGTCCTTCCTGTGTGTCTTTAAATGTTTGGTCCTTGTAGTTGATTTCTCTCTTATCTGGAATATGTGTATGGGGAATTTAGTTGTAGTGAAAGATTCAGCTACCATTGAAATATTTATGAAATATCTTTTGGTATTCAAAGATCACTGATAGTTTTTTGTTCACATGATAAAGCCTAAGCCTTAATACTTTGAAGATATTTTAGAGTCTTCACAGTAAGGCCTCTGCTTCCATTAAGGCTACTCAAACTATTCTCCCGGCCTGGAGGGATGGCTCAGCCGTTAAAGGCTAGGCTCACAACCAAAAATATAAGAGTTCGATTCCCAGCACCCACGGCTGTCCCTCCAGCTGCCTTTAAAAATCAAACTATTCTCCCCACATACAATACCCTGCTGATTCCCTAGACAGACAATGATTAAGCATCGCTCAGTGAGCTGCTCTCTATCCCCTTGGCCCCCAAAGTACAGTCACACATGATCAGTGACTAATCAGTCACTGTTACAGGCTTCCAGGAGAATTTGTCCTAGAGAGGTCTTGAATAATTATTTTGTCTTATTTAATGAGTTCCTCCAGGATGTAGACTCCTCTGGGATGCAGAGCCCCTTAGTCCCAGGGATGAACAGAATGAGGAATGTGAGCAGGGATGGTAGAGACACAGGTGATGACTACAGAGGCTGTTTTTCCTATGCCTATACTGAATAAATGGGAACAGGATCTTGGACCAGGGCCATGGAGTCACCCTGAGACATTCTGGGTAAGTTGGCAGGAAGTTGAATGAACCTTTATGTCCCTAACTGGAAGGTCTTAATCTCCCATGTCTCATGATATTCTGCAAGACATTTTTTTTCAGATATACTTCAATCTCTGTGCCTCCCAATGTGTTTTCCATATTGTAGAGATGTTCTGATTAGATTTTGTCACATATACTATGTTTAGTATAGCATTCATTAGTATTATTATGCAATGTGTTATCATAAGATTATATCATCTCAATATAGTGATGTTCCTGTGAGGTACGCATTTTATACAGGTGTTCTTGTTATGTATTTGATTATTCAAGTGCCAGTGACCGTGTCAGAGGAGCAGCAGGTGGCAATTGATTTCAGGTGCTCAGCGCACCAGCTTGCAAGGCACTGATGGGTGAATCTCGGATAGGTAAGGCCCGAGAGCCTCAGTTCCAGTGTGGCTCTTGCCCCTGCAGTGTTTTTGCATGTTTGTTATTACCTTTTGTCTCTGGTATCTGGCATGGTGTGAGTGGGTGTAGAGAGATCTCCATTGCCTTTAATATAGTATGATTATTTTATTAAAATATCCTATTTTACTTGTGAATTATTATGAAGACGATTTCCTCCTAAGCCGTACTGTTTAACTGAAACAATGATTTTACACAATAATAGTGTTAGTAGGATTTTGATGACTGGGGGTCCTTAATAAATATAGTAATGGATTATGATAGAGGTTAGCTTAACGGGAAAACTAATATAGGTAAAAGCAAGATATGGTGTTGCCCACACCTCTGAGAAAGCAGGGGCTGCCTAGGATAGAAAATAAGGACAACGGACTGTTACACAACTAGTTTCTCCTGAGGAGCTGTATGGACTGTGGCTTAGGTTAAT